AAAACTTGATCACTGGGACAATACTTTTATTCGCCTGACGTTTCGACATCCGCCGTGGATTCATCATCAGAGCCATGAGAAGGAAACAGTAGCAGAAACCATAAGGTGTCCGATACTGAAACCAAAAGACCCACTGCCAGGGCAAGAGACATCCTAAGTCGTCTATAGGATCTGGTACAGTTTCGGACATAGCAACTATGTCGGAGAACCTGGCAAACTTCTCAATAAGCGAAGTACCGAACACGCGGCGGCAATGCAGATTAATGACGCGAATTCTCAAGTTGCGGCTCATTTGACGAGACCCGGCCACACATTCAAATCTGATGAGGCCCAACTTCTCGCGAGAAATTAGAATTGTGTGAGTCACGAGCAAATTGAGTCATGGTTCACGAGTTCCCAGTCTATAAACAACTGTAATGACCTGCCTAATCTACATTCTGCGCTGAGCTTCAAGTTGGCCAAAGCAAGTTGCCACTCAGGAAAACGCATAGGCCAAAACGTCGTTTAACTCCAGCGACAGGGGGTTAGATAGCTGAACAATCATCACGCCCTCCTCCACCACATGTGATGACACTTCAGCAGGTCACGGCCAGCACGTCGGCCATCAAGCAATTAGCGAAAAAGCGGACAATTATCCCCCATAAGGGTACAGTAGCATAATGTCTGTATCCTATAAATACCGCAAGTCCCTGTGAATGCATTATCCCTTTCTGCTGTTTTTTTTCTGATGATGGATATGCGACGGATTCCGAAACGTCAAGCGAATAAAATTCATGTCCCAGCGATGATATCTACTTCCTCTCAATTATAATTCATCTTGTGCTCACTGGAATAAATTGGAAGATTTGCCGACGGTTCGGACAGCTGGGCCTGCGATCCTTTGTCAAAGCGAATACTGACTGTTATCGATCAGCACTTTAAAGTTACGGTTGTCAGTGTTAGTCTTGGACTGATCAATTTTTCTCCGTTCGCTGTCTGGCCTTGCGTGTGCATTTAAGCTTGCCGTGACGGCAATTGGTGGTTTGTTCTGTCCCCACGGTAGAGGATGCTGGTAATCCTGTTCCCTCTTCCTGTGGTTTCATCACAGTACCGTCTTCTCTTGCAAAGCCTGACTTCGGTTTGACCGTGCCCTGTCCTTGACTTACAAGAACACAAAGCGGCGGCCCGGAGATTAGACTCTTACCCGCAGCTTGCCACACATATCGGAGAGACCGGCCACGACTTCGATATTCAAGGAACTACCATCGTAGGCCAAGGAGCCTCAAAAGCTGAAAGGTTGACGCTTGAGGCATGGTACTCAGACGCCAATTCTGTCAGCAGGCATCTGGACCTCCCTGCGACCTAAAAAGTCCTGCGCCGTTAAGTAAGTGAAGGACAGGGCACGATCAAACCGAAGTCAGACTTTGCAAACGAAGACAGCCCTGTGCTGAAACCACAGGAAGAGGTAGCAGGTTGCCAGCATCCTCTACCGACAGCAAACGGAAAAAAATCGATCAGCCCAAGGCCAACACAAACAGCCGCAAATTCAAACGGCTGATCGATAACAGTCAGTATTCGCTTTGACAAAGCACAGCAGGCCCAGCTGTCCGAAACGTCGGCGAATCTCCCAATTTATTCCGGTGAGCACAATATGAATTATAATTCATTTCCCGGAATTGTGACATTTTCGAATTTGAGCTCTTCTCAATTACTTCCTGGGACTCGCATGTTCGCTTGCATGGTTTTCAAGTGCGTCAAAGGATGATAAGAAATGTCAGTAACCAAGTCTAGGATCCGGCACCTGCCGCCCGACGGATTTAAGGCGACTATGGGACTGTAATAATCCAGTCCTCGGAAAATAGCTGAGTGCGTAATTTCGCCCAAGGGGTCACAGTGACCTGTTCGAGTGTAAAACGGTGTCGCAAAGGTTATGTTATAAAATTCTTTGTGAATTTCGACGCTGACCACCGGCCGCCCAAGTCCTAGAGTGAATTATATGGGCAAAGTTTAGCGAGTTGCTTAGGGAGGAACTCGCGCATAAAATTCCGTGGGCAACTGATGGCCTCCTTAATTTGTTCCCGAAGTGACAGTATCGGGATGAAGAACGTTACAGTCTGATATCTACTCTTTAAACTGTACGAAGGTTAATTTGGACTTTTGTTAGTAAGTAGTGATTTTACTATTGGTTCCTCATGGCGCTCTTATACAAACTGAAACGCACAATGTTTTATCGGTCGCTCCTGAAATCATCTTCGTAAAACGGACCTTTAATGCACCCGACTTCGTGCCCGGGGATTCTTATCTCTTTCCAAAAATAAACAAGACGCAGGAAGAAAAAGATCAAGGGAAAAAGTAATCGGTCCTTAAATCTGTATGACTGTGAGCTAACAAGCTCAGAAAATGGGATTTCGAGGAATGTCTGAATAGGTGGAATAGGGGCCGCAACGTTTACCTAGACATGGGTAAAATAAATTACATCAGATTTGAATAAAAGGACGCTTCTTGGAAGGAAATTTTCACAAATATCTGACATAATAAACACTATAAATGTTATGGTCTTCATGACACCCTATATTTCGAAACATGACGCCTGGTTCTTACTTCATTTTTTTCACCAATTTGGCAAAAATGAGAACCATTTTGACAGTCAGCAAACAGAACTCGACTTCCAAAGGTTTCCTCAGAGGCTCCAAATCAATATGATACAGATAGACATCATAGAAAGGTCATCGAATTCAAGTAGATTTTAGGCAGTTTGCGTAGCAATTATTTAAGGCTACTTCGCATACAAGGCTTTCGAAGTAGCACTAAAAAGAAATCTGACAGTTTTCAACTTCTTCGGGAAATTACTGTTTGTCTCTTTAGCGGGTTCTGGAAGAGCAGGCCAAAAGGGACTAACTAGAACATTAGGCTCCTCTGTCGGTTTGACTATGCCATCCGACTGCTTTCCTCTTGACGCCCCTTGTATACAATGATTCAATTTTATACTACTACTTGCAATATTTAAGTAACCAAGTTTTTTGTAGCAATAAAGAGCAGTAGGCTCCGCTATTGACAGACCACACTGGCTCTCCTTATGATAGGGAATACGTCAAAGTAAAGAAGACAGAAAAATTTGTTTGCAGCGGCCTCACTAGAGCTCTCCTGCTCTTCGGTTTAGTCTCCTGGTCAGCCTCCATGCTGCCCTCCGCGTGGCAGTGTGAGCCGGCATGATTACTGGGTCCACTAACAGTGGGAAGCCTGGAGCGTTCAAATGTTGGTGAGAGTTTTGGCGAAGGCCACACAGACGGCGTACTGGGAACTCCGCTGGCCTCATGTGAACTCTGGCGTGTGTTGGTGTACTCCGCCGGAGCCCGATGGGAGGTCAGGGCGGAAGGGTTGAGGGGCGGCAGTTTCACCAGGCTCTCTCCCTTTCGCGTCAGCTTTCGAATGGCCTCTGCGTACGCGGCTTGTCGGGTGCGCTTGGCAAGCTACAAAAGTTAAAATTTTGCAAATATTCCCAGGCTTAAGTTGAAAAGTCGATTCGGCAAACACACGTTTTCAGCAACTCTTCATCAGGCCAAAAAATCTGCAGAGAGAATGAAAACTGTACAGTTGGACAGGGTTAATAAGGGTACTTTGATTACAATTCATCGTTTACATGCCGCCTTTATAGTGAGGTCGGCGTGTAGAGGTTTTTGTGTTGGGAAAAAGGAGGAAATTGGGTTTGGTTGTTGGCGTTGATCAGAGGTCAGGTACATGGCGTGATAATTGCTGTTATTTGCACGAAGCGAACGACTGTCACTAAAGTGTGGGAGCGAAATGCGTGTTTCAGCATGTTAGAAGAAAGACTTTCTCCAGCAGGCTACGAGATAAATATGCCAAGCCAAGCATACAAGGACATCAGGCAAATGAAAAAAACGAACCTAAGCAAACAAACCTTCGGAGCGTAATTTGAACTGCGGCTGACAAAGAGCACTTGCAGACACATTTAGATAGACTTCAAAAATGGTCGGCGGACTGGCTCATGCCGTTCAATGAGAGCAAGTGCACCACCATTCGAGTCGGCAAACCCGGTTCTTCAAACGACACGGTTAACCGACTAAACGACATACCATTGAAAGGAGTGAACGCCCAGAAAGACTTGGGAGTTTGGATCACCCCCTCGCTTAAACCCTCCCTGCATTGCGCAAAGGTAGCCAAGTCCGCGTTGTCGGTCCTATACCTCGTCAAGCGAGCTTTTC